AGGGACAAGGATGTTCTTCAACAGACTTTAGTACTTTCCAAAACAGGAATGAGTCGCCAACCCAACCGGGCGGCACGAACAATTACGCACAACACACAGTGCGGAAAACAAGAAAAAGCGCACGCAGTGCGAACTCTCGAAATAACAAACAAACGAGAGAGAAAACTCCTCGGAGGCAAGCTGACAATAACAATCACACATAACACCTGACCCGAATAAACGAAACTAAATAGGGAACACAATCCAACACAAACAAGGGACAGGTATTACAAACAGACAAAACCAAACGAACATGAAACATAGAACGGTGGCAGCTAGTACTCCGGAGACGACGACCGCCGAAGCCTGCCCGAACAAGGAGGAGGAGCAGCCTCGGCCGAAACCGTGACACCTCATGATGCCATCTATTTTGTGAAGTGCACCAGTTCCTCCTGCAGCAAAGCACCCCCACAGCATGATGTTGCCACCCCCATGCTTCACTGTTGGGATGGTGTTCTTCGGCTTGCAAGCAACCCCCTTTTTCCTCCAAACATAACGATGGTCATTATGGCCAAACAGTTCTATTTTTGTTTCATCAGAGTATGCAGTTATCAGGAGCAATGAAAAATAACTGAATTCCACTTAAACTAAGTTTGCACTTATCCAAAGTGCACTTATCGGTAGTCAGCTATTCAAACGTGGTGGCATGCCTAGTGCCTAACTTTCTAACCTTTGGTAATCAATATCAATATGGGCCAATGCCATGCTCCATCTAGGGAAGGGATCAGGCTCAATGTGATGTGGAGACTGGTTGCAATAACGTCAGGCTGATGTCATGGTCAGGTTATACTGGAGGCGAAAGAAATGCACACCTGTTTAGGCGAGGTGCTGGCTACCGGAGTAGAACACTTGGAAAAGAAAAGAAGAGCCGTACACTCTAGGAGCTCAGATGCAATAATTTAATAACCTAATAACCAATGTTTCGTGTCTGTAATCATGGCCGGGTGTGGCTTGATATCATTGGTTAATTTACAGATATAAATAGAACATAGAAAAACACATAAATGGATAGCATACGATCATAGATACAATTTGGCTACATAGGCCTACAAACATTTACAATGAATAGCAAAATCACAAGAATCACAAGAACTACTCTATGTTATATCAGTTGATTATAACTTGTTTATTATTAAAGGGGATTTTAACATCCACATAGATAATAGTACAGACAATAATGTGTTATGTGAATTATTTAACAAACTATTTCAGTGTCTCTGTGCTTCTCCCAAAATCAAGAAACGGACAGAGTCCCGGTCTGCATAGTCAGAGATTTATTCATTGAGAATTCTGCCACAAAATGGTCGCACAATATTTTTATACGCACATGTCATACGAAAATCCCTCCTCTCTGTAGGCAGGCTGTAGTTTTCCACTTTAAAACTGCTCTCCTGACCATTAGTACACACACACACACACACACACACACACACACACACACACACACTCTTCCAAGCCTAACAGTTTCTCTCCTCCCTAAATTCCTCAGTTATCTTGGTTTCTCAGTTCCCTGTAGACAGTTCTCCTTGTCCTTTGTTGTCTGGCCTAACTCTTACTCACATTGCTAAATAGTAGCACAATGTCATAATCTTTACTGGTCCTACACTCACACATTACCAGGTAGTAGATTCTAACACATCTCACACAGTTTCGGAGTGTAATAATTAGTCACTACTAAGAAAGTACTAATCATACTTAAAACAAGAACATTTCACAACTATATTTAAGGGTGGAACATTTAGTCATAACTTTTAACCTGTATATATTTTGATTTCTATATCAATGCACCCTTTGACTAAATTATCCACACTTTAATACACAGAAAATCATTTCAATTACTTTTAAACTAGAGATTTATAGTTCTAGGAAAACATCCAGTCTCAAACTATCTGAATCGTCGTCGTCCTCCACCAAGCCTGGTGGGTCATATTCTTCATTCCTTAGGTCGGAGTCCGGGATTGGGCCGTATATATCACCATCTGTTGGGAAACTGCATACTCCAACGCCTTGCTCACCAACCCTCGGACACAGGGAATAAGACAACATCCACAAAGAACAAGCATACCCATAGACGCGATTGCCGCGCCTAAAATAGTTACAACAATAGTTTTCCATTTACCGAAAATGTGATCAAACTAACCGTTTAGTGAGCTATCAATACCAGAGTTCTCAGCCAGTTCTTTCGCCAGCGTGGTGAGTCCCTGAAGAGCTTTGGTCACGGACCCGTCCGGTGCTGTATTGTTGGATGAAAGTACAGCACATAGATCCAAACATAACACAAACTCCGCCCTGCTCAGCCAAAAGCATATCTAAAGCTATTCTATTCTGCCATGCCATTAAGCTAGTTGCCGCTGTCTGCTCAGCCAATCCCTTTATTGCATCACGAGTGTGGTTTATAAATCTTTGCTGGTTTTAGTAAATATAATTTATCCAATCTACGTTTTTCTTAATTGTTGAGCACCAGAAAAGACTTGATTCAAACCCAGCTGCGATCTGATTCCTAGCTTTGAATTCTTCTGGAACCCCTGGAGGTACTCCTATCCCATCAATATATATCCTTTCATTAAAGGATCCCGGGAGGAGGTCCCGCTTTCTACGTGACAACTCACCAGTCTCTGACATGTTTAATTGTTTGCATATGTAGGTGAGGCCACAATCTGTTATCACCACACAACCACCAGATGTCAGCACAGGCCTGGTTTTGGTTCCTAAAATCCTCTGGCTGCAACAAAGAGGAGAGATTAGTCATGTCTCTTTAGTTGTGGCATTCTCTGTGTGGGAGCAGGAGCTAAGATGCCCTACCCTGTATCCTATCTTATTAGTCCTAGAAAAACAATAATAAGAATCCCCTGAGACTTCAAACGGAGGTAACCTAGGTCGGGGTGACTTTGTTACAGATAGTGCAAGTTACTACAAGACTCCTTCACCACATTCCCAGGTGGCTTGAACAATTTAATCATGCAGGATAAACCTGACGGAGCGTTAAAGCCCGTCAAGGGGAACAGAGTAGTTGTTAACCTTGGTTTGGCTGTCCCACAGGCGTAACAGTCCTCTTTGGACATAGTTCTTGCCGTATAATGTATCCATTCCAACCATAGGTTAGGATCCGTATACCCAATCTCCACCTGTACTACTTCCTTCAGGTCTATAGTTTGCACTATCTTCACCACAGCCCCGGTCTCACTACCTCCCTCAGAGAGGTGTACTCTATAGGGTGCCCCAGTTGAATAGGATATCTCACTTGTCAGGTAAACTGTGTATGGAGATTGACATATCCCCCCCCTCTCGGTATGAGCAACTACATGGTCCCAGAATGTACATGGTGACATACAACTCCCCAACTGGTCCGCAAAGACCTCGAAGGTGATGTCCTTTCCTTCAGTCACTAGTACTTCCCCTTTCCCTACGTCAAGCTGTCTCCTATGCCTACGTAGACTGTGCTCGGGTATTATTTTATCAACTTGTGTTAGGTTAACTACTACTTCTGGCAGATCAGGAGGGTTTGAGTGTGCTAGGAATATGGCCCCCACAATCATTTACATTTTTACATTTTCGTCATTTAGCAGACACTCTTATCCAGAGCGACTTACAAATTGTCATCACAGTCGTATTGGCACTGAAAGGTATAGATAGTTAGACAGAGCTGGTGCTAAACTGTAACATCCTGCTAAGTGACCAATAAAGGAGCTGCTATAGAAGGAGAAGGGATGTTATTGGTGCCAGAAGCAGACTCAGTCAAGACAGCCAATAGGCTACAGATGGGGACATGCATGGCCGTTCAATAGTTACATTTGGTGCATTATCCCCCCCTTCCCCTGTACTGCTGTTTGGAAGCAGGTTGAGACTAGGTGAGCCATGCATTGAGTCTGGATTTTGAAAACCTTAAGAAATGTTTTGTGAATCCAGACCCTGCAACTTTGGTATTAGGTAAGAGAATGCCACAAGGCTGGCTTGAGCAATGAACGGAAACGATGTGCAACAACTAGACAAACAGAGACACAGCCTGAGAGAAAGTCTGTTTGGGCCATCCAGACAGATCTGGGACCAGGCTACTAGAGACAGATCTGGGACCAGGCTACTAAAGAAAGATCTGGGACCAGGCTACTAGAGACAGATCTGGGACCAGGCTACTAGAGACAGATCTGGGACCAGGCTACTAGAGACAGATCTGGGACACAGACAACACCAGTTAGACAGTTCTCAGTAGAAACAGAGCAGATGTTCAGGCTAGTGGTCAAAATGGCACCATAATCCCTATTTTAGTGCACTACGTTTGACAAGGGCCCATTGGTGTCAGTGTGACCCATAGGGTCAAAACTATTGCGCTATAAAGGGGATAGGGTACCATTCAGGAGGTTTAGTCTTTGGACTGTACCGCTGCTGCCAGACTGGTTTGTTCAACACCACCAGAGCTCTCTGTTTATCTGAAGAGAACAGAAAACACACCACTGACTGATGTTACTACACCCTGTTAGCTACTACAGCCACAGTGAGTCAATGCAGGTTTAGCTACGGCCACAGTGAGTCAATGCAGGTTTAGCTACGGCCACAGTGAGTCAATACAGGTTTAGCTACGGCCACAGTGAGTCAATGCAGGTTTAGCTACGGCCACAGTGAGTCAATACAGGTTGGATGTTTATGACAGTGACATTCTTTAAGACAGTCCCAAATGGCACCCTAATCCCTACATACTACACTCCCTTTGACCAGAGCCCCATGGGTCTATATGCGTTGGTCAAAGGGAGTGCCATTTGGGACTTAGAGTCTGTACATGCCATGATGAGAGACAGATGTTGAGGTGACGTTGTGTCTGTGTGAGGCAAAACTACAGGTGACTATTTTTACACCAATCACAGTCGGAGTCCGTCAGATCAGGCAGATATAGAATATTAGGGCACTTGTGGTTGAGATGAGATGGTTGATGGTGGTTGGTTCCAGGTGGTGCTGGAGCAGGGCTCTGGTCAGTTGACTGGGGGGTCTCTGATACGAACACTACCATCCTCCATCCCAAAGTACACCCTCTCTGTCATCCCCACAAACAGACCTGTCTCTACCACACCTGGTATCATCTTTATAGCTGTATTAACCTCCTTCCAGTTGTGAGTGTGTTCAAACTTCCAGTCCAGAAGGAAGTTACTGTTGTCTGTTACCACCGGACCAGCTTTACTGATGGCCATGCGGAGCACTGCCTCCCCTCCGAACCGCTTGGCTATAGCCCTGGATACAGGGATGTAGGCCATAGGGATCACTTCTATAGGAACACCCTTCTTCCACTGCTGGCCCAGGGCCAAGGAGTCCTTCTTAAAGTCAGCGATGACGATGAAGTGTTTGGCGCAGCCGGCTACGATCTTCTCCTGAGTCAGACAGCCTCCTCCTCCTTTGATGAGTGTGAGAGCTGCATCCACCTCGTCTGCCCCGTCAATGGCCACGTCCAGCTCTGGGTTTCTATCCAGATCAGACAGGGTCAGACCACGCTGCAGAATCAACTGACGAGCCTGGAAGGAGGTGGGGACACACACTATGTTGAGCTTCTCCTGACGAACTCTCTCCGCTAGTCTGTCTACAGCATACACGATGGTGGATCCACTGCCCACTCCAACTACCTGGTTGTTCTGAACATGGTTATCCACCGCAGCGTAGCCTGCTAGTCTCTTCGCCTCTTCTGCCATGCCGTCTCTGTCGCTGGGACTCCTAAACAGACACACGTCAGACAGCTACCTACCATCAGGAGACCTGTGAATCCCCACCCTCGCCCTGAGAACATGTCAGACGCCAGAGGCCAACCCATTGCTTTACCTTCTATTGAACTCACACAGGGATGATCAGACAGGGTAAGGGAATCTTCGTTAAGGAGCCAACCCCCGAGCCCTAGTGGTGATCGGTTCTTTCTCCTAACTCTGTGTTTGTTCGTCAGGTGTAGCTGGGTTTACCTTTTTACAGTGTGTGACATGCACCCAGGTGGATCTTTCCGCAATTCTTACAGCGAAGGCCATCACCAACAGGACCTGATATGGACCTTACCAACGGGGCTGCTTCCAGTTTTTCTTCTTTAAGGATTGGATCCACACCCAGTCACCTGGTTAGAAAGAGTGTGTCACCTTCTCCTTTAGTTCACCTGTGGGGCACAAAACCTCTGACATACAGGTGTGGTTAATAAACTACCTTCTCACGTGTTCTGCTAGGGTGCTCTCAATTTCTATTTCTGCCTGCTCCGGTCCTCCTAACTCGGGCATTCTGTATGGTCTACCAAATCCCTTCTCCAATGGCAATAACCCATCTTTATATGGAGTTCTCCTGATTGTAGTTAATACTATCGGTATACATTGTACCCCATTTCTTCCTGCTCTCCTGTGTGTTTTCCTTAACCCCTCTCTAATCATACAGTTCACATTAGTATTCTCTTTCTAGACTGTATCTAAAAATATTAATTAAAAAAAAGTATTTAGTCCTCTCCTTCGACTATTGATCTTTAATCCTACCATCTACCATCATCCCCCCTCTTGACACATGTCACTGCCCATGTGTCAATATTACCACCTACCTAAACAATCACGTAGGTAATATTGGTAATTTATCATCCTTCATCTATTTCTGGACAGCTAGTCCCTATCCTAAATTCTCCTATCCAGCTTCCTATTAGTACTATCTTCCTGATCTCATTACTAAATCAATGATCTAGGTAATAGCTGTTTCGTATTAGATTGTGCCTTCCTCTGATTACTGGAGCTCATTCCATTAATGTAGTTTCAAATACCAACTTGTTGTTTATTAAAGCATAATAAAAATGAAATTTAAATTACAACATTTGATAATACCTCAACTTACTTCTATCCCGTAAAAGTAATCCAAGATTTGTACAATTGACTAGCAACAGGTATCCCTCATTCAGGGAAAGCTCTCTCTCTCTTCTGTTATTTTATGGTTCAAATCATATATATTATTACAAATTATAATCTTCTTCACACTTTTCACAGTACTATAAATTACCCTCAACTTGGTAAAATAAACTATCTTAAAGTCCTCCTCTCATGCCTTTAGAATTACCAGTGTGGATGACTAATTAACACCAGAAAGTCAAAACAGAGTTCAGAGGCAATTGAAATCATTCAACGAACTGTTCCATCCCATAGTATACTAAACATTACCATGATTCAAAATATTTCATAAATGTTACTTATCCCAAGTGTTCATTAAGTCCTCATGACATTTATTCTCATAAGAAATCATGCATACCTTAAACTCAGTCAAAACCGAAAAACTCCATAAAATTCACTGTGTGTGCTCCTTTAAGACTTATCACCTTTGACCTGTTGAAAACCCCCTAAAATCTAAATAACAAGGCTGTTTAAACAGCATACTAGGTGTGTTGTTTTTAATTTGAAAACCCCAATTAAAAAACAACAAACCAAAATAGCCAGGTCATGAGGACTCCTGATTTCTCTCTTCCCCTTCTGCCTACAGTTTCTTAACTGGTGCCCTTTCCTTGCACAGTAACTACACGGTTCCTCACATTCTCTAGCAAAATGTCCCGTTTTGTCACAATTGTAACACTTCCACTCACTCCTGTCTCCACTATTACCGTTTCCTTCTTGTCTGTCTTTGCTACCGTAACCTCTCTTCTCTCCTAGGTATTGACTAATAGTCTCACTGTCTCCCTGTTTACACTCATGGACTTTGGAGAAGTCGGCATGTCTGTGATAATATTCTCTCAGATTATCACAGAGTTGTGCCAATTTATCTCCCCTCCTTCTGCCCACTCTAGGACCTGTGCATTCCCATCCCCGGGAACCCAGTTTCCCCTTACTGCCGCCCAGTCCTTCAACACTATGTCTGACTGCCCTCTCTAGTTCCCCTGTATTCAGCTTGAAGCTGGCGGTCAGCCCTTCCATATCTCTTCTGAACTGGTGTACCCCCGTCTTAGGGTGGGGTATCCCTTCCACTGCTCTCACTACATCTCTCTGCTTCGTTTACTAAATCCTGGCATTAGTAAATTCTATCCACACACCACCAAAAACGAATAACATATTTGCATACACATAACTAGAAAGCATGAATTTAATAGCATTCTTGCTTAAACAATGCAATTCAACATTTCTCATCACCCAATTTCTATTATTTTTTTCACACAGGAAACCCTGTACAATCTCTATCCTCTGTTGCTGACTTTCCATCTAACATTACTTTTCAACATTTCTCAAATCTAATTAACTCTGTTATCAACTAAAATTATAGCCACCTCTTATGAAACCCCCAATCTGTCATTGTTTAGAATACAGCAGATATACTGTAGGTAACTGTCCTTTCTAAGTAGGCTACAAATAACACATGCCGTAGTTGACCAGAATATATTGAATTTATCTCCATAGTATTAATATCCAATGTAGTGATTGACGTTCCTTAATGGAAACCCTAAATTGGCTTTGTACAATATTATATTAATTATGTCTCACCCATGACGTATGTCTACGTTTGGGTGAGCAAGTTAATATATAATTATTATTCCAATTATTATTTTATGAAGTCTCTAGCCTCTCATTCAACACAAATCCCCACCATCAAATATACTCCCAGCAGAACTGAAAAAAAAAAAAACAGACTGTGATTTCCAGGACACTGCCCCTTTGTTTCTGGCCTCACTATCTCCCCGAGAGTTGGCACTCCCTTAAGGTCTCTCTTACTCCTCTTTTTCTCTCCCAATCTGCTCTTGGTAAACTGCATCTTTTTTTCACCTCAATCAGTGTTGCTGTGCCATTCTCCACCCTATCAAAATATTTGTAATGGTCCTGCTTATCTGTGGTCTCATTCCACTGAGGAACGCTATATTTTTAATTGCTGATGGTAGGGCGTATCATTCCCCTGTCTCTGGTCTGGCTCGGGTATGCCACTGTTTGCGTTAAACACATCTTTAACTCTCTCTAAGTACTGGCTGACAGTCTCACTATCCTCTTGTTTACACTCATGTGCTTTAGAGAAGTCTGCATGACGATGGTAATGTTCTCTGAGGCTATTACACAATTCAGTTATTTTCCCAACATACTCTCCGTGATCGGCCCATGGCAAAAGTGCCCTCTGGGCATCCCCTGAAACCCACTGCCCTCTAACGGCAGCCCAAACCTTACTATTCCTGTTTTGGGGTGGGTCATTCCTTCTACCGCTCTGGCCACGTCCTCTGTGTTCATGGCATGTCTGCTAAATGGCATATTATTATTATTATTACTGTATACATCTAAGGTTGCTGGGGCCCCTTCATTCCCTGCCAATAGATAAGGTAAGGCTATCAGTGGGTACTGGCCCCCTCCTACTCTCTCATCTCCTGACTCATACCTTTACACACCTTCTGCATCTGTTTTACCATGGATTCGAGTTTGTCTGCGTCCAGACGTCCCTCAAAACCATACAGTGGGGAAAAAAAGTATTTAGTCAGCCACCAATTGTGCAAGTTCTCCCACTTAAAAAGATGAGAGAGGCCTGTAATTTGTACTGTACCGCTGCTGCCAGACTGGTTTGTTCAACACCACCAGAGCTCTCTGTTTATCTGAAGAGAACAGAAAACACACCACTGACTGATGTTACTACACCCTGTTAGCAACTACAGCCACAGTGAGTCAATGCAGGTTTAGCTACGGCCACAGTGAGTCAATGCAGGTTTAGCTACGGCCACAGTGAGTCAATACAGGTTTAGCTACGGCCACAGTGAGTCAATGCAGGTTTAGCTACGGCAACAGTGAGTCAATACAGGTTGGATGTTTATGACAGTGACATTCTTTAAGACAGTCCCAAATGGCACCCTAATCCCTACATACTACACTCCCTTTGACCAGAGCCCCATGGGTCTATATGCGTTGGTCAAAGGGAGTGCCATTTGGGACTTAGAGTCTGTACATGCCATGATGAGAGACAGATGTTGAGGTGACGTTGTGTCTGTGTGAGGCAACAGACACAACGTCACTCCTTCGTTGCCCGGGCAACGAAGGAGTGGCTTCGTAAGAAGCATTTCAAGGTCCTGGAGTGGCCTAGCCAGTCTCCAGATCTCAACCCCATAGAAAATCTTTGGAGGGAGTTGAAAGTCTGTGTTGCCCAGCGACAGCCCCAAAACATCACTGCTCTAGAGGAGATCTGCATGGAGGAATGGGCCAAAATACCAGCAACAGTGTGTGAAAACCTTGTGAAGAATTACAGAAAACGTTTGACCTGTGTCATTGCCAACAAAGGGTATATAACAAAGTATTGAGAAAATTTTGTTATTGAGTGGCCTTATACTTATTTTCCACCATAATTTGCAAATAAATTCATTAAAAATCCTACAATGTGATTTTCTGGATTATTTTTCCTCATTTTGTCTGTCATAGTTGACGTGTACCTATGATGAAAATTACAGGCCTCTCTCATCTTTTTAAGTGGGAGAACTTGCACAATTGGTGGCTGACTAAATACTTTTTTCCCCCACTGTACCTCTCCCTCCACCTGGTCACATAATGGAGATTTATTCTATCCCTGGACTCCATAAATCTTGTATTCTATTGACAGGCAGTGTTGTACGAAACTCCAAGATATCATTACATGAAAAGCTTATTATTCAAACTTATATACAATTGTCATACACACCTCTATATCTCATCATTCAAACTTCAGAGTGCGACTCATTTATACCATTATACCACTCTCATTCCACATTCACACAATGTTGTTCTCAAACGCGCTTAATTACTATTTGTACAACGTACAGGAATATTTTATTCTATCAAAGGGTCCAAATTTGGAATGTTAACCCTATCCCAGTTATTATTTTACTGTAGTCAATTTTATTACAATCCTACATCACCTCTAAAGTTTCCAAATATAATGTCCAAAACACACCCTGAAAGATTGACCAAAATACAATGCATAGACGTCATATGATCACACCGGTACACGTGACCTGTTCCTCCAACAGGATTCCTCATACCCCTCCTAGTAATGTGAATTTTCCACTCAGTTGGTAAATGTATATCCACATAACATTAATTATTCTCTTTCCTAATGCGAGATTGGGCAAGCCCTTTCTCCACCAGCTTTTAGAAGCTTCAAACGACCTTAAATATAGTCCCTTTCCTTACACTTTCTCCACAAAGAAAAGGCTATTATTTACAGGATTTATTTTTGTTGTCTGATCACCCACACAGATAAGCAGCCACTCGTGCTTAAATGAATCACTGAATGACTCACAGCCGCTCAAGCTAACCATTCACCCGTACGAGATGAGCATACCTACTCTATCTTAACCTTCTCTTCACACATTACTTTCACTGTATTTCCCCAACCCGGATTATTTGTTGAACATTACTGTTCTATAATCTACTACAGGTTCTCTGAATACAGGTAGTTTCTTTTGATAATGGCCTATTACCGTGAATCGTTACGGACCCACCAACCTTAAATTGGCTACAACCTTAAATCGGCTACCGGCTACAACCTAAAATTGCCTACCTTAAAATGGCTACGCATTGATCAATTTGCTACTTTAAATTATGACGTTACCCTCAGTCTATATTTTAGCAAGTTCTCAAATCAATTTCACCAAGTAATGAATAAAGACTACTGACCTTATCCTTGCAGCCGAGATTCAATGTAGGTTTGGATTCCGTCACCGTCTCTGTCATTAATCAGGTGTCCTCTGGCCTGTCTTAACCCTTAATGTCAAAGGGCAGGACTTTCTATTTACGAATGTATCAATCGCCCGTCGACAGTTTTCAGAGTTACCTGGAATGACAGAGGCAGGTATTGGATTCCGGCTCAGAAGGACCAAGCTGTTATGTGAATTATTTAACAAACTATTTCAGTGTCTCTGTGCGTCTCCCAAAATCAAGAAACGGACAGAGTCCCGGTCTGCATAGTCAGAGATTTATTCATTGAGAATTCTGCCACAAAATGGTCATACAATATTCTTATTTGCACACGTCATACGAAAATCCCTCCTCTCTGTAGGCGGGCTGTAGTTTTCCACTTTAAAACTGCTCTCCTGACCATCAGTACACACACACACACACACACACACACCACACACACACACACACACACACACACACACACACACACACACACACACACACACTCTTCCAAGCCTAACAGTTTTTCTCCTCCCTAAATTCCTCAGTTATCTTGGTTTCTCAGTTGCCTGTAGACAGTTCTCCCTGTCCTTTGTTGTCTGGCCTAACTCTTACTCACATTGCTAAATAGTAGCACAATGTCATAATCTTTACTGGTCCTACACTCACACATTACCAGGTAGTATATTCTAACACATCTCACACAGTTTCGGAGTGTAATAATTAGTCACTACTAAGAAAGTACTAATCATACTTAAAACAAGAACATTTCACAACTATATTTAAGGGTGGAACATTTAGTCATAACTTTTAACCTGTATATATTTTAATTTCTATATCATAATGCCAAATAACTTTTTGCACTACTTGACACTTTTGATCTCACTCAACATGTGAAAGAGCGCACACACACTCAAGAACACATTTTAATACAATTGATCAATAATCCCTAGAAGAAACAGTTCAACATCTTAAAGCTTCCACTTGCTGTCTCGACACACTGCCATCAGACATTTTTTTAAACAATTTTTAACTCTATAACAATGGACTTACAGCAAATAGTTAATAGCTCTCTGCAATCAGGCATTTTCCCAACGTCTCTAAAAACAGCTGCCATTAAGCCTCTATTAAAAAGAGAACACTGTATGCATCTATAATGAACAACTATAGACCTGTATCAAATATCCCTTTTATAGCCAAGATCATTGAGAAGGTTGTCTTCAATCAACTCAGCAATTTTGTGACCTCATGCGGTCTCTTAGACAAATTTCAGTCAGGTTTCCGACCTCACCACAGTACTGAAACGGCCCTTATTAAAGTTTTAAATGATATACGGCTGAATACTGATTCTGATAGTAACAGTTCTGGTTCTATTAGATCTCAGTGCAGCATTTGACACTGTCGATCATGGAACACTTATAGATAGGCTGGAAAAGTGGGTAGGACTCTCCGGGACAGTCCTTGATTGGTTTAGATCTTATCTAGATGGCCGGAGTTACTTTGTCACCATTGGTAATCATGAATCTGATAGGGTGGCTATGACATGCGGAGTTCCACAGGGATCAGTTCTCGGACCGATTCTGTTTAATCTCTATATGCTACCTCTGGGCCAAATTTTACAGAACAACAACATTAACTACCACAGCTATGCTGATGATACTCAAATATATATGGCTCTCGAACCATATGACAACAGCTCAATAGACTCTCTGTGTCACTGTGCTTTTAGTTTATAAATCTTTGAATGGTTTAGGACCTGAGTACATGTCTGATATGTTTGAAGAATATAAACCGAGCAGGGCTCTTAGATCCATGAACACAGGTCAGCTAGTAGAGCCCAGAGCCCAAACTAAACATGGAGAAGCTGTGTTTAGCACTGATGCTGTACACAACTGGAATAAACTACCAGAAGATCTTAGATGTGCCCCAAACGTATCCATTTTTAAATCCAGGTTAAAAACACTTCTCTTTTCACGTGCCTACGACTGAGCACTTAAACTTAACCACACTGTTTAGCCTCATAGCTTCCTATGTTTTTATCCCATTTTTATTTTTTATTTTTATTTTTTTATTGTATTTTTATTATTATGATGTTTTCATTATTTTTGATAAACATCTTTGTAAAGCACATTGAATTGCTTCGATGTATGAATTGTGCTATATAAATAAACTTGCTTGCTTGCTTCAGATCAAAGTCTACGTTGAGACCGAAGGGAGCAAGGGTCTTTAAATTAAAGATCCAGGCAGCCTCTCATTTTAACAATAAATTGTCGAGGTCACCCCCTCTCCTAGGGAGGGGGAAGTGTTCGATGCCGATATAACGTAGGGACGAAATCGAGTGGTTCGCTTCCAAAATGTGGGCCGCAACTGGGTACGTTGAGTTTTTGCACCTAATGGTGCTACGATGCTCCGAGATTCGTACTTTTAATTTGCGCTTCGTTTTACCCACATAATTCTTACCACAAGGACAAGTTATAAGATAAATAACTGCCTTAGTGGAGCACATGATAACACCTTTGATTAGGATCTGTTTCCCTGTTTGGGGGTGTTTGAAGGATCTACAATTGTAAGTGCCATTGCATTGAGAACAGCCATTACACTTGTAGTTTCCATCCGGTAGAGGTACACTGAGTATACAAAACATTAAGAACACCTGCTCTTTCCATGGCAGCTATGATCCCTTATTGATGTCACTTGTTAAATTCACTTCAGTCAGTGTAGTGGAGGAGACAGGTTAAAGACGGATTTCTAAGCATTGAGACAATTGAGACATGGATTGTATATGTGTGCCATTCAGAGGGTGAATGGGCAAGACAAAAGATTTAAGTGCCTTGGAACGGGGTATGGTAGTAGGTGCCAGGCACACCGGTTTGGGTCAAGAACTGCAATGCTCCTGGGTTTTTCACGCTCAACAGTTTCCCGTGTGTAGCAACAATGGTCCACTACCCAAAGAACATCCAGCCAACTTGACACAACTGTGGAATGCTTTCATTTAAAAAACAATTGTAGAGTCCATACCTCAACGAATTGAGGCTGTTCTGAGGGTTTAGGAAGGTGTTCCTAATGTTTTGTATACTAGCTGCATCAACCAGAAAATCACGTTATTATGATGTCCCATGCCAAATTTTGCCTTTTGGGTACCCTACTCTCCAACCACCCTTATAGGCTGATCTTAGAACAGTTGTTATAGTGTGTTTATTATGAGCACCTGAACCATGCTGTTATGCAGTGATTGCTTCAATTCAACATTGACTATGTGCATGCAGTCAGCTCCAGTGTATCATTTTGTAAGAGATCAATGGTTATTTTCAGCAGGAACTGATACATGTATTTTTTTTTGCAGTGCACACGATTTAAACACTGATATCATATTTCACTATTATAGGAGAGTTTATTTTATTTTTTATCTCAAAACACATTGGTTATGGTCTAGGTGCACAGTGAGTGCTTTCAGGCCTATTTCACAGTGAGGTTTGATTTCAGTACTGTAGTAACAGACAGTTGAGGACATATTGAGTGTAGTTTTAGGCTTAGAGTGAATGATTTCAGGCTTATTTTACATTGAAGGCGATTTCAGGCTGGATTACCTCCAAGCGGTCTATTCATAGCCGCTCACAAACGTCAGTCGGCCCGCTCCTCGGGGTCAGCGTTTAATGAGATTACTGGGGTTTAGAGGGACAGTGTTCCTCTACTCACTGCCACACAGATTCCATCTCCACTTGCAGAATCAACTCAGGGGAGGCCCCTAACCACTGTTCTCGTCGGATTTTAACCTCTTAGCTTGCTTACCCTGAAGCTTAGTGAATGAAAACAAAACTGACCCTAGGTCAGGTCAGTTACTGCCACTACCAACACTTTGAGCACAGGGAAGAATGAGTGAAAAACGTCCAAAGGGTGGACGATAGGATCAAGGACTTGAATGACTAACTCCCCTTTCACAACTGTACCATAACTGTATGTTGATCTTGCATAATTCTTTTAGGAGAGATACAGTACTATTATTTTAAGTCAATTAAAATATGGTGAATCAGTTGTTTGGAATTGTAACGGTAATTGATTATCTACCTAGAAACTACTTTGCCCTATTCTGATTGTTCAGATATCAGTTCATTGTTGGAAGAGAACAGTCAGAAAATAGTGGAGTTGATGAAAATGGTCAGTTCTAAAGTAAATATGCAAAAGAGTAATCCGTCTCCATCCAGTGTTTGTCTACATAGAGAGTCATCAATCCACTCTCTAAAGAACCTTCAAACAACAATCTCTAGTAGAAAACTGTGATAAATAAAAAAGTACACCAGTTTCATTTAAGGACCAAAGGATTGACAGCCATCCCATATAGATTGCAAAATAGTTGGGAAGAGATTTTTGACGTACCGATTCCATGGCATAGTGTTTATGAACTGATACGCAAAACGACACCGGATTCAAAACTTACAATTTTTCAATTTAAATTATTATATAAAATTCTTGCTACTAATAGAATGTTATTTATATGGGGGATACAATCTTCCCAGCTCTGCAGATTTTGCTGCGGAGAGACAGAATCATTAGATCATTTGTTTTGGTACTGTCCATTTGTAGCTTGTTTTTGGACACAGGTCCAGGAATGGCTAAAGGATTGCAATATTTACCTGGAGCTAACCTTGCAGATAGCATTACTGGGTGATCTGAAAAGTCATAGTCAATCGATCAATAATATAATAATACTTTTAGCAAAAATGTTTATTTTCAATTTACAATCTGTAGAAACAATGAGAATAGAAATGTTCAGAACTTTTGTAAAACATCACAGCACAGTTGAAAAATATATGGCAAATAGAAATCCTAAATGAATGGTGTTAAGAGATGGGTGGTGTTGAATGGAATTGAAGGATGGGACTAATAACAACTAACAACAACTAATAACATGATATCTAATAATGTAAAGCATACTGTGTCCATAATAAGTATATAGGTTGTAGGTTGGGAGTTTTTGTGAAAGAGCACAGTTAAAAATATATTGCATATATTGCAAACCGGATGGACATCATGAAAATGAAAAAAATAAAAAATATATAATTATTGTAAAATTGACTGTGTCCATAAAATGTATATAGTAAGTATAAGCTGGATGTAGTGGCCTAAGCATTGTTATTCACTAGTTTACTCCAATCAGGGAAAGGGTGGTGGGGTTGGAAAGTAATAAAGGGGAATATATACAGTAAGGGAGAAAAATGTATTTGATCCCCTGCTGATTTTGTACGTTTGCCCACTGACAAAGAAATAATCAGTCTATAATTTTAATGGTAGGTGTATTTGAACAGTGAGAGACAGAATAACAACAAAATTATCCAGAAAAACGCATGTCAAAAATTTTATAAATTGATTTGCATTTTAATGAGGGAAATAAGTATTTGAACCCCTCTCAATCAGAAAGATTTCTGGCTCCCAGGTGTCTTTTATACAGGTAACGAGCTGAGATTAGGAGCACACTCTTAAAGGGAGTGCTCCTAATCTCAGCTTGTTACCTGTATAAAAGACACCTGTGCACAGAAGCAATCAATCAATCAGATTCCAAACTCTCCAGCATCGCCAAGACCAAATAGCTCTCCAATGATGTCAGGGACAAGATTGTAGACCTACACAAGGCTGGATTGGGCTACAAGACCATCGCCAAGCAGCTTGGTGAGAAGGTGATAACAGTTGGTGCGATTATTCACAAATGGAAGAAACACAAAATAACTGTCAATCTCCCTCGGCCTGGGGCTCCATGAAAGATCTCACCTTGTGGAGTTGCAATGATCATGAGAACGGTGAGGAATCAGCCCAGAACTATACGGGAGGATCTTGTCAATGATCTCAAGGCAGCTGGGACCATAGTCACCAAGAAAACAATTGGTAACACACTACGCCGTGAAGGACTGAAATCCTGCAGCGCCCGCAAGGTCCCCCTGCTCAAGAAAGCACATATACAGGGCCGTCTGAAGTTTGCCAATGAACATCTGAATGATTCAGAGGAGAACTGGGTGAAAGTGTTGTGGTCAGATGAGACCAAAATTGAGCTTTTTGGCATCAACTCAACTCGCCGTGTTTGGAGGAGGAAGAATGCTGCCTATGACCCCAAGAACACCATCCCCATCGTCAAACATGGAGGTGGAAACATTATGCTTTGGGGGTGTTTTTCTGCAAACGGGACAGGACAACTTCACCGCATCAAAGGGACAATGGACGGGGCCATGTACCATCAAATCTTGGGTGAGAACCTCCTTCCCTCAGCCAGGGCATTGAAAATGGGTCGTGGATGGGTATTCCAGCATGACATTGACACAAAACACACGGCCAAGGCAACAAAGGAGTGGCTCAAGAAGAAGTACATTAAGGTCCTGGAGTGGCCTAGCCAGTCTCCAGACCTTAATCCCATAGAAAATCTGTGGAGGGAGCTGAAGGTTCGAGTTGCCAAACGTCAGCCTCGAAACCTTAATGACTTGGAGAAGATCTGCAAAGAGGAGTGGTACAAAATCCCTCCAGAGATGTGTGCAAACCTGGTGGCCAACTACAAGAAACGTCTGACCTCTGTGATTGCCAACAAGGGTTTTGCCACCAAGTACTAAGTCATGTTTTGCAGAGGGGTCAAATACTTATTTCCCTCACTGTATTTAAAATATATATATATATATATATATATATATATATATATATATATATATATATATATATATATATATATATATATATATATATACACAGTATCTCACAAGTGAGTACACCCCTCACATTTTTGTAAATATTTGAGTGTATCTTTTCATGTGACAACACTGAAGAAATGACACTTTGCTACAATGTAAAGTAGTGTGTACAACTTGTATAACAGTGTAAATTTGCTGTCCCCTCAAAATAATTCAACACACAGCCATTAATGTCTAAACCGCTGGCAACAAAAGTGAGTACACCCCTAAGTGAAAATGTCCAAATTGGGCCCAATTAGCCATTTTCCCTCCCCGGTGTCATGTGACTCGTTAGTGTTACAAGGTCTCAGGTGTGAATGGGGAGCAGGTGTGTTAAATTTGGTGTCATCGTTCTCACACTCCCTCATACTGGTCACTAGAAGTTCAACATGGCACCTCATGGCAAAGAACTCTCTGAGGATCTGAAAAAAAGAATTGTTGCTCTACATAAAGATGGCCTGGGCTATAAGAAGATTGCCAAGACCCTGAAACTGAGCTGCAGCACGGTGGCCAAGACAATACAGCGGTTTAACAGGACAGGTTCCACTCAGAACAGGCCTCGCCATGGTCGACCAAAGAAGTTGAGTGCAAGTGCTCAGCGTCATATCCAAGGTTGTCTTTGGGAAATAGACGTATAAGTGCTGCCAGCATTGCTGCAGAGGTTGAAGGGGTGGGGTGTCAGCCTGTCAGTGCTGCAGCTCAGTTTCAGGGTCTTGGCAATCTTCTTATAGCCCAGGCCATCTTTATGGTGAGACAGACCTGCCCAGCAACTCTGACTGTACATAAGACAAAACGTTGCACATTTCTTTACTTGAGAAATACTGCACCAAACACCTTAGATGTAAAATTGCGCAACTAATACATCCTCGGCCAAAACGTAAAAATGTTATACAGATTTCTTGAGTTAACTTTGATTAATTCTGCAAATTTTGAGGATGTGAAATAGGCTTCTACAGTGTCAGGGGACAAACATCATTAACCAAACGCGGAATCGGTCAGTAAACACACCTCCAAGCAACAGAAAAACACATGTGCCAATCGGCGTGTTCAGTGGCTCTTTAAGCGGACAACCTGTAACTTTAATATTTTCTAGTCACAAGTGCTGCCTCTGTACTTGCTATAGACTGTGGGGATGGGTGGCAGTTCACCAAGACCCACGCCTACAGTTTACAAACTGTGCAGGGTCAACACTTCTAGCTGAAAATAAAATGGACATAATTAACCTTTAAGATGACTCTGAGAAGCCACAGTTTGCAACACAACAACATGTATTTGTATGGCAAGGGGGGAGGGTGTGGGTCTAACAGTATATGACCTACAAGCCATGCCCACCAGGAACACAATGATAGCACAAATATCAACAGTTATGTATGTTTTCAGTCAAGTCGGTTGTCATTGTCTGTTTGCTTCTCTGCTTTCTTTGGCAGAATTTGGGGATGGATTCTCAAAGGACATCTAGATGGTGTATTACCCAGTCACTTCAAAGATACAGGTGTCCTTCCTAACTCAGTTG